CCTAACCTAACCTAACTGAATTGAAGAGGTTATATTTTTTAGGAGTTATTGATTTTTGGGAAAGAAAGTTTTTAGCTTTCTACTACTCCACTATACGTAAGTCGTCAAAATTGATATTGAAGCAAACTATGTTTGTTTTATTTGTTTTGAAACATAAGGAGTTTAAATCACACCATTGTTTAACCTTATAGAGATTTCAGACGTATTAAAAGTCATTAGTAACATCAAGCCATAGGTTAGGTTAGGTCCAAAGTGAGTGGATCTATTCGACCCTCCACCGTAACCCCCAAGGGTTTATTGTGGTTCACACCTATTCACACTCGACCAAATAAACCCAGCTTCTCAACGAAGCCGATTAGTTTGTTTGGTGAGTGGTCTTCCATATCTGCCGAACTCTAAAAACCTGATTCGATCCCCAGCGGGGCAGGTACAAAGTATGTGATCTGCTGTTTCATCATTTTCCAAACAGAGGCGACATACACTGTCTGCATATAATGATTCAAATGACAGTGACCTGTAAGAAGGCCTGTTAGACATCATAGTTCATCCCTACTGTAGTCCAACAACAGTTTGGTATCAAGCTTCGGAGGGTGAATAAACGCCTTGGAGTTACCGAATTCTGAAAGATTCTGCTAGGAGTCCATAAATCTTCTTGCCATCCAGGTGTTCAATGTTTGTTTGGCAAAGCCTAAAGCAATACCAATGACATTGCTTTCCAGGCCAGTATGGCCAGGAATCTAGACCAGAGACAATCTGTTGAGTCTTCCTATCGAGGAGAGTCGTTTTTGGCAATTTGCTACCAATTTAGACGTTGCTCGGTAGGAGCCAAGAGCTTCCAAAGTTGCTCGACTGTCCGAGAATATTTTTTCGACTTGTACAAAATCTCACCGCACACAATTCAAGCCAATCTGGAATAAGTTTCGAATTATTTCTTTATTTGTTAGTTTATGTTGCTATTAAAGCGTTTTTTTTTCTGTTTTTTCAAACTCTTATTTATTATTGACTATAGAATGAAGCTGTTTAGAATTCTAAACTTGTGCGTGCCAAGGATCAACGAGCAAATCCTAACAGTGATCAAATACACCTTCCAACAGTGGTCAAATACACTTCCTATCAATTTTTATTACAAATAACATTATATTGAGTATCGAGTCCTGTTAGGCAAACAGAAACTTCCTAAAAACTTTCCATGACATAAACGGTTCTAATGGAAGATGTGAAATAAAATTACCGTTCATTTTTATTCTATCAAAGTCTACCTCCAACAATATTGTCAAAAGTGAAACGATAGCAAGAAAAACTGACCTCTTGCAAAGTGGAAACATATTTTTCAGTTATTCGATTACGTTACAGAGATCATTCAAATAAAGCAGAAAAAGGATAGGATCCAGAACCGAACCTTGTAGTAAACCAGATGTATTATTCTCAATATGCGATGTATTTCCTTAGAGTTTTACTAACTGCTTCCTGTCTGTTAGATAACTGTGAAGTTATCCTCTAAAGCCATAGCACTGAAGTTTAAATAATAGTGTTTCATGATTCACGTAGTTGAACGCTTTTGATCAACCACAGAATACTGCCCCAATAGGTTCTTCATTAATTAAAGCAATATATACATCTTCCAGAAAAGAGATGATTACATCGCCTGTGTTTTTATGGCTTTGGAATCCATATTGAGACTCGCATAGTATGTTATGATTACTTAAGAAGTTAAGCATTCTCTTTTCACCAATTTTTCAATTATTTTTGATGCCATAACCATACTCCTGTATATTTTATTATATCATATCGCTAACTCATTCCATTTTATGAATTACAAACATCCATTTTGTTGTGTGATCTGCCTCATTTCTCGCTCTAGCGAACATTCTTTTCAATGTTCATATTTGTTTTTTCATCCCTCTGGATGGTTGGATAATTGCGGAGCCGGTATTTCGCATGAGGCCTCCTTTGGTCTCAGGAGATATGATGCTCTGCCACATCACTAATCTTGACGTAGTTCAAGTCAAATCTGAAAAGAAGTTGTTTTTCAATAATGACATGTCACTTCAGATAACATGAAATGGGAACATAATTCGGGGATGTAAGAATCCAATTTGAAAATTAATGAGCAGTGAGAATACGCAGTGGTCTAAGCGGCGTCATTTTTCCGAGTCTAATTCGCAGGGTGCAGAAATGTTTTCTTTTGATGAGATAACTCTGCGTCAACAATGAATCCTACAACAAAAGTTGAAAACCATTGCACTCACTCATTTGTAGCAATGAATGAAGTATTTTATCATTATTATCATTATTATGTGTCAGTTATAGAGCGGTTAGTATCAGAAATACGCGATGGATTGTGGCTGCTCTTGAAGTTCAACTCAGTACACCTCGAACTTCTCTGTTTGAGAACTCTTTAATTAGGAGAACTGCAGAAAATGTTGAGTCTTTTTCTTCTATATAAGCTTGCGTAATAGAATTATTAGATAGAAATAGAGTGAACCCAGTCATAAAACGAGGAATAATTGACCTTTTGTCGTTATGTCTTGAACAAAATTTATATTATAACAATATTTATTCCTCCTCAAAAGGTTCAATTATGGGAAATTCATTAAGCCCCTTACTTGCAGACATTTTCATGGATAATCTATAGAAGTCGATCTTTAAACATCCTTTGATTAAGGATTTCTTGTATTGGCATAGATATGTGGATGACGTTTTGGTATGTTCTACAGGTACTAAGAGGCAATTAGATACTTTTCATAGGAATATTAACAGAATTCATGAAAACAATAAATTCACTATTGAAATAGAAGCAGACAACTCAAATCAATTCCTTGGACTCAACAATTAGTAGAAGGAACAAACATGATTTTTCAATTGATCACAAACCGTCCTATACGGATATTACTATACATAACTATGCTACCCATCCTTATCAACACAAAGTAGCAGCTTATAATAGCATGATTCACAGATTAATCAGAGTTTCTCTTTCAATAGATAATTTCAATAAAGAACTTGATATCATCAAGCAAATTGCGGTTGAGAATGGGTTTGAAGCCGAATTAATAAACAAAATACTTGCCAAGAAAGTCTACGCAAACGCAATTCGAGACGTTTTTCCTATTGATAAAATAGATAATCAAAATTATAAAGCTTTAACGTATTTTGACAACCAACCAAATTCGAGATATCAGAAGTATATAAATTAAAATGTGGAACGTGCCCTAGATTAGATTAGATTAATATGGGGCTTCTGTGCTGAATAGCCACTACACTGCGACTTTTGTAGGTCTATTGTGTGTGCCCCCATGTATGCTAGAGTTCCTTGTCTAGGCCCGTCCTTGCAACTAAACTCCATAGGCCAGACCTCAAGTTCCCCATATATTGAGAAGGTTGTGGTTTTTCCTCCCCTAATGTTGCAAACCTCATCCTTGACAGACCTTCGCCATAGCATAGTATGTGTACGGAGGTTTCCTCATCCTCTTGGCAAAGCCTGCATAAGGCTGTGTCTGCCAGTCCGACGTTTTTCATGTGTTTGTTGAGTCTACAGTGTCCCGTCAATAGCCCAACCAGAACTCTAGTTGATCGCCTATTCAGACTTAGTAAGTACTCTGTGAATTTTGGCGATGGCTCTTTAATGAACTGTTTGGCCTGTCTCATACCCGGCACCTTATTCCACCATTTTTGAGATTGTTTTTCCTTCAAGTTGCTGTTACAAGTTTTTCGCAGCGCTTTTGCTGTACCACAAAAGGGTTCTGGGCCAATGGGGGAGCATCGTGCTCCTTCTCCTGCTAGTGAATCAGCCTCTTCGTTGCCCTTGTATCCTGTATGGCCTGTTACCCTGGCTAATGACAGTCTGTTTTGCCTACCTATTTCTTGTAGCTTTTCTAGTCAGTTCCAGACCAGTTTGAAATTGACCTGCATGGAGCTGATTGCTTTTATATCTGCTTGGAACGTGCCCTAAGGTATATATTGGTCAAACTAGCAGAACATTTAGGAATCGAACCCAGGAACATCATACGAGCTATGTAAATAAGAAAACAAATTCAACATATTCAAATCATCTTTTAGAAGATTTCGAATATTTCGAAATTTTGCACATAGAAAATAAAGGTTTGAAACTGAATCATTTGGAAGCAATGGAAATCAATGAACTTAAAAATTCAAACTGGATTTGAATAGATCACCATTATTGAACTTGTTTTCTCAAAAACTGAGAAAGAATTATTATTGATGTAGATGTGAGGTAATATGGTTCAGGATGAACAGGTACCTTAGATAGAGGTTTAGCTAATTTTTTGGAGATAGTCTCAATTATGGTTACCTATAGCATATGAATATTAGTGTAAGGAACAACTTGAAGTTTTCACAAACTACACTTAAACGATTTGATCTCCACTAACTTTATTGAAAATAATCATAACATGTTTCGCTAAAACATTAGCTTTTTCAAATGATTAATTATTTGAAAAAGCTAATGTTTTAGCGAAACATGTTATGATTATTTTCAATAAAGTTAGTGGAGATCAAATCGTTTAAGTGTAGTTTGTGAAATTACTATGGATCTTCATCAAGTAACGGCCGAATCAATCAGAAAAAAAAAAAAAAAAAAAAAAAAAAACAACTTGAAGTATTCAAATCACTTGACAAATCTACTGTGCTAGCGAAACATGTGATATATTTTTCAAATGAAGTTTGTGGAGATCAAATCGTGAGGTGTAGTTTTTTAAATTACTATAAATCTTCATTAAGTAACGGCCGAATCAATAAAAAAGATAGGCTTGCGTAATTGCTATTTTCTTTACTTCACTTTGACTGAATTATAAAACAAAAAAACTAGTTTTAATTCATAATAATTTCAGTTTTCTCTTACACCAGCACAAATATTTCAGGTTTTTCAAAGCAAATATTATATCCATTGGAATTCACAGAACTATTCGATCCAGCCTAATATTCCGTGTTCGAAGTCAGGAAAGTTTGTACTGAAGTCGCTTTTATTTGTTTCCAGATGCAATTAGGCAGTTTGCTGCCAAGTAGATGTGCGCTGGCGCTATTTTTTCTACGAACAGCCATGTTTACGACTCTACTGCCATCCTGTCCACCCGAATGTATTTGCCTTTCTCAGACACAGGTAATTATCCAAGTAATTTTATTGGATTTTATTGTTGGTTACTTTTCACAGACACGAAATAGTGGAATATATTCTTGCAAAATTTCAGAAAGGACTAATTTGTAGAAATTAATGTGTATTTAGACGTTCTTCAGTTGTTGTAACAATCTCAACACGTTATTTGTCATGAGTTCATCTACGGAACCTGAAATTATCTTATTACCGATCTATCCTGCTTTTCAGATAACACGCTAATAGTGTTAGCCACAATAAACTCTTGCGGGTTGCGGTGGAGGGGCGAAAAGACCCACTCTTTGGACCTAACCTAGCCTAGATATCACGCTTGGGTCAAAATGGCAAATACAAAGCGTAACCAACCTAAAAAAAATACATGTAGTCTGAACTGAATCTTCACTCGAAGTGAATGCATCAGTGAACACTTTTAAACAGAAAATGATATCTCAAATTACTCAAAACAAACATCTACAACATTATCACAACTGCGCTAATGACAAATACTCAGAGAAACTAACTCAAAAAAAGGTTAGGTTGTTTCAGAAATTTTGTCCGTTTTTATGAGTCTACTTTCAACTGTAATACTGTGGATACATGTTCAATTTAATCCCTTCAGCACAAAAGTTGTTTGCTAGGGACTCGATGACGTCGGCGAAGGCTGTTTTTGCCTGATCCTGATTGACGAATGTTTTACCGTTGGGAAAGTTATCGAATTGCTTGAAAATATGGTGGTCGGTTGGCGAGAGGTCTATGAAGTAAGGTGGGTCAGACAGAACTTCAAGGTTCAATTCGGAAGGTGGTTTGTGGAACGTGTGGACGAGCGTTGTCGTGGATCACTTTTGTTGACCAGTGCTGGCTGCTACTGATGGAATTTTTGGTACATTTCGTCGATTCACTAAAATTAAAACCCGGTTGTGATGGTTTGGCCCGGTTGCAGAAAGATATAGTTAATCACACCAGCCGCAGACCACCATATAATAAAAACTTTTTTTTGGTGGATTTTCACCTTTGAGAAGTGGCTGGATCGCTCATCGGTGTCCAAACACTGTCCTTTGAGACGTGCCTGGATCGCTCATCGATGTCCGAACAGTATCTTTTGAGAAGTGCCTGGATGTCTGAATGGCTCATCGGTGTCCAAACACTCCTTTGAGAAATACTTGGATGGCTCATCGATGTCCAAAAACCGTCCTTTGAGAAGTGCCTGGATGGCTCATCGGTGCCCAAACACTGTCTTTTAAGAAGTGCCTGGATGGCTCATCGGTGTTCAAACACTGCCTTTTGAGGAGTGCCTGGATGGCTAATCGGTATCCAAACACTATCCTTTGAGAACTTCCTGGATCGCTCATCGATGTCCGAACAGTATCTTTTGAGAAGTGCCTGGATGGCTCATCGTTGTCCAAACACTGTCCTTTGAGAAATGTCTGAATGGCTCATCGGTGTCCAAACACTCCTTTGAGAAATACTTGGATGGCTCATCGATGTCCAAAAACTATTCTTTGAGAAGTGCCTGGATGGCTCATCGGTGTCCAAACACAGTCTTTTAAGAAGTGCCTGGATGGCTCATCGGTGTCCAAACACTGCCTTTTGAGAAGTGCCTGGATGACTCATCGGTGTCCAAACACTGTCCTTTGAGAAGTGCCTGGATCGCTCATCGATGTCCGAACAGTATCTTTTGAGAAGTGCCTGGATGGCTCATGATTGTCCAAACACTGTCCTTTGAGAAATGCCTGATGGCTTATCGGTGTCCAAACACTCCTTTGAGAAATACTTGGATGGCTCATCGATTTCCAAAAACTTTCCTTCGAGAAGTGCCTGAAAGGCTCATCGGTGCCCAAACACTGTCTTTTAAGAAGTGCCTGGATGGCTCATCGGTGTCCAAACACTGTCCTTTGAGAAGTTCCTGGATCGCTCATCGATGTCCGAACAGTATCTTTTGAGAAGTGAAGAAATACTTGGATGGCTCATCGATGTCCAAACACTGTCCTTTGAGATGTGCCTGGATGGCTCATCGGTGTCCAAACACTGTCCTTGAGAAATGCCTGAATGGCTCATCGGTGTCCAAAACCTTCCTTTGAGAAATACTTGGATGGCTCATTGATTTCCAAACACTGTCCTTTGAGATATGCCTGGATGGTTCATCGGTGTCCAAACACTGTCCTGAACATCTCCTGCTGTAGAAAATCCAATTATCATCACACGTTACGATACGATCCAAAAAAAGTTCGTTTTAGTTGCGCAATAGCATAAAAGAACATACTTCGAAACGTGACAATTTCTGTCGATCATTAAAACCGTGAGGCACACACTTTTTGAGCTTTTTGACCATTCCAGAACATTTTGAACCATCAACAAAAATCGCATGGGAGCTGACGCCCAGTTCTTCCACACTCACTGTTTGTGATGGGTCAGTATCCACCAGGATCCTCAAATCCTCGTCCTGTATAACTCTGGGATGACCACTTCGAGGATTATCTTCGATGCTAGAATCCCCGGAACAAAATTTCGCAAACCAATGTCGAACAGTGCGTTCATCAACACTATCATTGCCACCTGCCTGGTTAATTTTCAGGCTGTTTCGTCAGTGTTTGGTTCAATTTGAATTGGCCGAGAATCGCTCAACGACATTTCATAATAATAAGCCAAAAAAAGGCAATAAATTCGAATTTTGGAAACAAATGAACGGTTCAAAATCATCTATCGATCAGAATGACATTAAAACGAATGAAAATTATGAAACAACCTAATGACATTTCCCTAACTGAGTTCTTATCCAATATAGTCTGTTAATCTGGAATGATCTATTTCAGGTGCTGTGCAACTCCGGCGGCCTCCGAGAAATCCCCAAGAAGCTCCTGCCGTCCACTGTCGAACATCTCTCTTTCACCCGCAACCACTTCCCTCTGATCAAGAGCGACTCGTTCGCCGGTCTGCGATACTTGCGAAAGCTCTCGTTAGACGGTAACAACATATCCATCATCAAACCCTTCGCCTTTCGAGGGCTGCCCCGCCTCCGTGAATTATCCATCCAACAAACTCCTCTAGCGACGGTCGCCCAATTTGCTTTCGCTGGCCTCCAGAATATCAGCTCCATCTATCTTAGCCACAACAAGATTAGGCAGGTCGAGGCCTACGCGTTCGCGGGCACTTCCAATCTGAAATTGTTGGTTTTGTCTAACAACCCCATTTATAAGCTCGATAGTCATGCCTTCAGTGGATTGAACGGGGTGGAAAGGTTGACATTTCCATCAGGTGAGTAGCAGATAATAGCCACGATTATCTAATTCATTCAAATGACATAAAAACCAGGCTGGACAGTTTTGTACACTGGTCATTCATTGGATCTGAAAATGAGTTAGCGACAACGAAACTTTTAGTAAAGGATTCTGCCACAAAATCACTACGTTCATAGTTCATACACATTTATGAATAGGAAAATACATTTATGACAGGTTGCCAGTCAAAATGTGGCCGCCAATATTTTCATTTGAAAAAATCAAGCTACTAAAGTACTTCATGGAGTAAAGGCCGGGTCAATCCCTCTACGAAACCCTTCATCACTTGGAAGGATGGAAAATAGTCATGAAATAATTTAAATTCATTCAAGCAAATACATGAATTGAAAGATGTTTCAACCCCAACTTCAATATTCTAAAACAAAAACACTCAGAGTTCACAATTCCACCTTTTAATATTGCAGGTTCATAGACAAAAAAATTAATACGATTACAGTATATGGAAATATAAAACAATTTCCAGATAGGCAAAGTTGCACGGATGCGTATCAAGCATTTTACCTTAGTACGGTGACCAGAGGAAAGTTGCAACCTCAGCATATTTGAATTAAAGCGGTTATATTTTTTAGGATTGATTAATTTTTGGGAAAGAAAGTTTTTGGCTTTCTACTACTCCATCTTGATACAAAAAGAAGGATGAGGGAATCTTCCAAAGAAAGGAAGGAAGTAACTCTATACATGGATGTGTAGACCATGCAAAGAAGTAACTATCAGACACAAACTGAAAGAAAGTCCTCTTGAAACAGCTACTTTCATATAAACATTGAATTATATGAAAGAAAAAATTCTTTCGAAACAAATACTTCTATATGAACACTGAATTATACAGAAGATACTTTTCTCTACTCAGTTTGTATTTCAAACATTCATTGTGGAATGAAAATCAGATATCATTCACATGAGTTCTACTTTAAATGAATGGTAACAAATTGCACTTACATAGAACACTGCCATCCTCACTGGTGTATACATATATACATCGTTGTATACCAGACGAAGCGTGGAATGGTTTCCAAAGTAATGCTAAATTAGCCTTATCAATGGAGATTTGAGTCAGACACATTGGAAGAAATGTAATTTTCTCTGGCGTTACTGGTGTCTGTGAAAACATATATTCTGAAACCTTAGTCCACTCGAAAATGAAGCATTTTTTCAAAAAGATTTCACTCAGGTGGGTAATAAACGTTATTCTCTCCTTTGAGTTTTTCTCCTATGGAGGAATCTTAAATGAAGAATTTGATAACTCTCGAATAGAAACTAATATTTTTCCATGACTTTCGCTCTACGATACAAAAATCTTCCAATCTCATGGCGAATTGGTCGAATTTTTGCCAGTCAGTTATGAAGGAGAATTTGAGACTACTTGAGTATTTTTATGAGATCTATGTTAACTGCTTAATAGTTTGTTGATTTATGATTTTTTGAATGTTTTTATGTTCTCAGTACATTCCATTCACAGTATTTTTATATATCCTCCATGAAGGAATTCCATTAAATTCGAAGGTACAAATGACGAATTCTGTTTCAAGAAGTGAATTATCAATATATTAATAATAAACCAACAAGGAACCTATGCATTAATACTCCTCAAGAAATAACCTCAATATGGGACAAATGGGATCATTGAAGTTACAGTTCTACATATACACTCCTCAAAACAATCAAAGGATCACCACTTTGTAATGATCATGTACAAAAATAAGTTATATGATAAGTATAATAACGTGACCTATGGTAGTGGACAAGTCTTATAATAAACAACGGTGGTTGTTTTTGTCTTTTGAATTTGGATTAGTAGAGATGATTCTCATCTTTTTGTAAACATACCGGAACAGGAATGGAAAAGAGCATGATTTCAAGTAGCTACTAACCAGTTGTCAATCGAACTCGCAAGGTGCAGTTTACTCATTTTCTGTTTGGTGACTTCTGTTTACTTACCATGAAAGGTGTTTGAAGATTTCTTTCTGGTAATGATGTCACTAGGACTGTCACATAGATTGAAGGTGGTGTTTATCTACAACAGGTGGGTCGAAGTCAATCAGTGGTTTCGAAACATTGGAACCGCTACAAACAACTAGAGACTATCTATAGAAGGCCAGGTTAAAAGTGGTGGAGGTCCACTTCAGCAGCCTAAAAGGATAGGTGATACAGGGAGCTACAAAATAAGCTGAGTCGAGCAACGGGGATCCAAATTTCCGACTCAGGGAAAGAGGATTGAGATCGAGACGACCAGTCCATGTACAGCACGTCACAAAAGAGAAAGAATGGAGCTGTGATTTATGCCCGAGGATAAAACACAAGATACTGAGCCATTAATTGTAGCACGAAAATAAATAACTTTTTTGTTCGCTTTTGATTTCAATAAATGAAGAGTTTTCATTTTGATTTTGGTAGTTCTTGAATTTTCTCACGTATATCCAATACACAACAAAGAATTGTTCAATAATTCAGCATGAATTTGGTAGCCATTTGCATTGCTTTTCAAAATATTGGAGCATACTGGAATTTATTCAAAAAAATGAGGTATTGACAGAAAGGCAGTATGGATTCATTAATGGAAGTAATACTGAACTAGCTGTTTTAGATTTATTTAAGCAAGCATCGGATGCCTTAGACAATTCAAAAAAGTGTCTTGCAATTTGTCTTGAATTGGCCAAAGCCTTTGATACAATTTCTCATGAAGCACTCCTAAATAAACTGAATTTATATGGAATACGAGAACCAGCAAATAATGTTTTTACAGATTATCTTTCTTGTAGAACCCCACGGGTCAAAATAGGTAACAATGTTAGTGAACTGGCTAAAATCTCTAGTGGCGTACCTCAAGGTACCGTTTTAGGCCCAATACTATTTTTAGCATATTTTAATAGGTTAAGTCGCATAAATAATTTTAAAGGGCACCTCATATCATATGCTGACGATACTGCAATTATCTGTACAGGTGATACATGGCAACAGGTATATAAAGTAGCAGAAGAGTGTTTGGGTAAAATACAAATTTGGTTAAGTAACAATTTTCTCAACCTTAATGTTGAAAAATTGAAATTAATTACTTTCACTCTTCTGAGCAACCACCAACCTGTCCAACAAAAGATTCATTTACATATGCCAAAGTGTTCTGAAACCATTTGTGAATGTCCATATTTCGAAAAAGTAACTAAACTAAAGTATTTAGGAGTTGTAATGGACCAACATCTGAGATGGGATGAACATTTGCAATATATAGTAAAAAGACAGACATCTTAGCTATAAAATGTATGAACTCAGGGATATACTCACAAAAAAAGGTTAATTATTGTTTACAAATCTCTTGTTGAGTCAGTTATACGATATTGTATCACAGTTTGGGGTGGAATGTTTGAGAATGTGCTAAATATTGTACAGGCGCTCCAGAATACAGTTTTAAAAATAATGTTGAAAAAGAACAGACAATTTGATACAGAAAAACTCTATTCTGAAACTAATTTGCCTGATGGATATACTTGGATATGGATATACTCAAACAATATCAATTATTCTAAGGCAAATACAAAGTACACCAGAAATGTACAAAATTTATCCATTGATATACCCCTTTACAAAAAAAGTCATACCCAACGTTCAGTCTACTATTTCGCTCCAAAACTGTATAACATGCTTCCCCTTGAAATAAAGATAAATACCACATTTTTAAAGTATAAAAAAAATACAAAAGAATTCATAATTATAAATAATACCCATATAAACAGTTTATTCAAACATACCCAATAACCCAGAAATATCACTCAGTACATTTTCTAATCTTCCAATGTGTCTTTCAGTTTATGTGTACCTATTTCCAATATTATGTAAACCTAGATGTATAGATAATTATAGGTACTTATTCTCATAAAATATACCAGCTTCCTCTGTCTATTCACTAATACAACTGCAACAGTTATTCAATCTTTTATTACTTTTGTGCCTGATATATTTTTAAAGTACTTCCACGGGGAGATAGACGTAAGCACATTACATGCCACCTGCGCTTAGGCTGCTTTCCTTAAACTCCTAGTGGTCCTAACCATAATATTAATAAATTGTATATTAACATATTCCAAATAACTTTTTTCGAGATCAATTGCCCTAGGGCAAGTTATTCAACTTTCACACCAAAGGTTCCAATCTCATCGTTATTCGATATTCCAAAAAAATTGAATTGAATTGAATTGAATATGATAAGCCTTTTCACTGTTAATGAAAATATAACGTCAAAAAAAATGATACTTCAATTGTTAAAAGGTAAGACCTCGTTAGTCCTTAGCTCGCACAAGTTTCTCAACTCCTGAGAGTTGTCGTTCGTATGGGGGCGGCAGCTGATTAACGGAAAAACAGATTTTAAACAGATTTTTTTAACAGATTGAGGGGTGTATTTTGATTGAAACTGAAAATTTTCAGGAGAAACTGTGAAACTTCTAGCGAGAGAGATAGTTGAATGGAAGATCAAGTTCTGATTGCGTTACTTAAACGACTAGATCAGAAACTGAATTCTGCCTTTTGACAAAAACATAGGAGATATTATTTGAGAATTTTCTGTATTAATCATACCTACTACATCTTGTACTACATTTTATCAGTGAAATTATCATTATTAGGTTATTGAGAATCATCGATAAAAACTCCACATAAACTGGTAGAAAATCCCATCTGAAACAACTACTTTCAAACATATGAACGTTGAGTTTTACGGAAGTCACATTTCATAGCCAGAAGATCTAAGATTTTGTTCATGTTTTTCATAAAGATAGGCTACTTAAAATTATATATACTGATTATTTCACATACTCGTATGATCAAAATACTGAAAATGAGTAAAGAATCGGCAAAAAAGAAGTGAAACATGTGTATACAATTTTTTGTTCGACAAAAGCCGTACCTTCACATTAATAATTTCGCCTTATATATTATAGGTACTCCACTTTGCTTCACATCATGCGTCATCACATTCAAGATATTTCATTCAGTCATTGATTCCACAAGTTCTTGCATTTTTCTCAATCTTTTTTTTTCTTCCAGGAATAAGACTGATTGAACCAGATGCCTTCGATGGTCTGGACACTATAGGATACATCAAGTTAGCCTTCATGGACCTTCGCGGCCTCAGTACGGGCATTTTCCGCGGCCTTACCAACGTGGGGGTCCTATCTATCCAAGAATCTGACTTGGGAGTCATAGACGGCTCAGCTTTCAATGGCATGACCTTCATCAAGACTCTCAACATCCTAAACAACAAGATCGACGCCATAGAGTACCTGAATCTCACCCAAGAACAACATATCGGCCATCTGAAACTACAAGGTAACCATATCTTAGAGATACCCAAAACGGAAACACTACTTATAGAGGTGGAGAAACTGACTGTGATATCCAACCATTTTCCGTGCAACTGCCATATCCATTCTCTGCTCGAAGGTCCTTTGATGAATGGAAGTGTTTCGGAGTTCATAAGTAGAAACTTTTGCATTTCTCCTCTAGAAGTGAACGGGTTACCTATGAACAGTTTAGACATCGATGCGATAGGTAGGTGCGAAGAGGAAGTTACAAGAGGCAATCTAGAAGCCTCCAAGGAGTCGATCAATAACTCCAACAAGTACAATAACAAACTTTTGACTTGCTTGTGTTTGGCGGTAGCGACGGTGGTTGCAAGGTGAAACTATTGAAGATAATAGTGAAATAGACTCAAACAATGTCGATGGTAATCAAGGAAGCATTTATTGGTTATGTAAATTTTGTAAATAATATGTTAATTGTACATATCGGAACGTTTTTGTTGTACAAACAATGAGATATAAGAATAAATAGAATCAATTTCGAATATTGTTTCATATGTCCATCAATCTGTCCATCAACAATTTAGATAGCTACCTCCTGGCAGCTTATTATTGCAGGACTCGTTCAAGTAGAGGTGTCACTGCAATTTATACAAAATTGGGACTGAAATATCTGACCTTAGACTTGTCTGCATTCAACGCAGAACAAAATGCCGAATTTTGTGCAATAGTTCTGATTGATATTAAACTAGTCGTTTTAACAGTTTACAGATCACCAAAAGGCAATGTAGAGGATTTTTTGGAGAGTTTTGAAGGTGCCATTGGTGTGGCGGCAGATTCTGGTATGGATATAGTTATAACGGGTGATATAAATATCGATCTAAATCATTTATCACCCTCTGGTAACAGATCAAAAGATTTATTGACATCCTTTGACTTGAACAACCATGTTTTTATGGCTGGTATCTGGGAACCATGTATTTCAGATCACAGAGCACAATTAATTGCTATAAATAGGAAAAAAAAAATCTTTTCCCAAACAAACCTTTAGTTGAAAGTGTTTTTCAAAAAATGGCATATGTAGGCTAAGGAATTCCCTCTAAAATATGGACTGGTCTATTTTTGAAGCTAATCGAGATGTCAACTACTTATCTCATTTTATAACAAACACCTTTAGACAGCTGATCGTTGATATTTTTCCTCTGAAAAAATGCCGTGAAAAAATCAGGAAATCTCCAGTAAATTGGTTTGATGGTTCTTTGAGGGAAAAAAGAGACAAACTCTCCACTCTCAAAGCTATTTCAGAGGTCAGCAAAAAACCTGTCGACATTGCTGTCTTCAGAAGTTTCAAGAAAGATTATAATAAACAATTAAAAAAAAAAGCAAAAGATTAGCTTATGACAATTTCATTTCGTCAGCTAAGAATAAGTGTAAAGCGTCATGGAAAATTGTAAATTTCGAAAAAAATAAAAATGCAAGCAACCTCCAAGAAGACTCCTTGTCTGCTGAGAGTTTCAATGAATTTTTTGTTGAAATTGCCGCAAACATAATAAAGTCAATTCCTGCAACGTCGGACACGGTACTCTTAAACTATCGTAATTTTCCTACTCCAATCAGTTCATTCTTCCTATCTCCGGTCACAGAACATGAAGTCCTAACTACCATAAATAGTCTAAACAACTCAGGTTGCTTAGATTCTTACGAACTAAACAGCTTCGTCATCAAGGAAGTGGCTGATATAATTGTAAAGCATATCACCTCCCTCATAAATTTGATTTTCTTGTCCGATATCTACCCGGATGCTTTCAAAATATCAAAAGTCTTACCTCTTCATAAAAAAGGAAACCTTTCGGATACGAATAATTACCGACCAATAACTATCATCCCTATTTTCAGTAAAATAATCGTGACTCTCCTGAAACAGCATTTATACAACTATTTTGAACAAAACAAGTTTTTTACCGACTCACAATTCGGATTCAGAAGAGAGAGATCAACGTCGCAAGCTGTTCTGAAGGTGGTGAATAATGTGATCGAGGGCCTTGAGGAGGGCAAGATAACCGCCATCACACTCTGCGACCTATCTAAGGTCGCAGTGGAAAAGCTGCAGTTCTATGGAATGAGAGGTGTAGCTTTATCGCCCATTGCCTCATATTTAACAAATCTTTTACAAGCTGTCACATATAAGAGCTGTACATCTAATTATAAACCTATCAAACATGGAGTGCCCCAGGGCTCAGTCCTCGGCCCACTATTGTTCATCATTTACATCAATGATCTACCTAATTTTTTACATCCCTATAAGTCTTTTCAGGTGATACCTTGCCGGATTTGCAACAGTCTGTAAAAATTTCACTCTAAGTGCTGAAATGTGGTTTTCATTAAATAAACTAAAATGAATAATGAAAAAACAAAGAATCTCACCTTTTGTTTGTCTAGCACTATGTCGAGTGAAATTGTTAGGCATAAACATAGATAGTAAATTATCTTGGCAAAATCATATGGATGACCTACGAGGTAAATTGGCCAAGCCAATTTTTTTGCTCCGTCAACTGAAGCCAATTACAAGTTTTCCAACACTCAAAAATGTATACTTGCCAATGTAAGTTTTCGTGATCATTGCCAGCCCCTTTTTGCATAATTACGCATATTGTCTTTGCCTTCATTATTCATTTTCTCGGTTCTGCACAGAAAAATTCTCTAAATTATAATCTTCACAACGTGATACCGCGGGAATACAAAATCCTATCAAACAATAAATTCAAGAAGCGCTCAAAAAAATTTTTACTAACTTATTGTTTTCATTCTGTCAGTGATTTCATGGAGCATTTTCGACATCGCTAGAGAATTTCTATGGAGTGCACTCGCCACTTTTTACAATAGCTAGTAGTAGTGTACTATATTTTAAAATTTTATTTCATCTTATTTTTGTTTCTCTATGTGTTGTACTCTTTTTAAATATTATTTGGACTTACTACAAACATTATTTAATGTAAAGTAGTCCAGGAAGATAAACTTCAACAATACAGAGCGGTTCATAATAATCGATTCTATTATTGATGGGATCGATCGAGCAAATAATAAAAAAGAAAAAATTGTTTGCACGCAAACAATTACGATTTCACTTATGTTAACCTAGGGCTGATCTAGAACTTTTCCAAATTGTTTTCAGCTCCATTTTGCATTCGTGTTCCATATTATTTCATGTATATTTACTTCTTTCTTGTCATCCTTTCAATGTTTATATTGTACCATGTAATTGAATGCAAGTAAAAATTATTATCATTTTCATTATATATAATGGCGAATAAAAGATACGTAATTCTCATTAAATGGATAATTTATGGATGATTGAATGTCTAATTACTAGAAGTGGTTACGAAAGGTGAAAGGTAGATGTTCTATAAAACAAAAATTAACACGATGTTCACTACACGAGTTCTTTGATATTAATGAGCTTTCGTTCCACTTCACCAGCTAATCTACTGTGGAGCCAATATTCAGAGGCACAGCTAGACTTGCCAAACTGTATATTTTTTACAAGGAAACAATTTATTGAGAATGGCAAGTTCAGTATTGTTTTGAAAGCACTTATCGGTATTCTTTTCAGAGTATAGAATGAGGAGTGACAGTTATACACGGACAAGAGATTACGATAGAGAATTATGTTTTAAAACGTTCAGTAAATCGGTAGATGTAGCCGTTACTTCGTAGTAGGAGATAATCATAAAAATGAACCATTCTATGTTTTCACCACTTTTATTTGTAACTAACGTTACTGCAGTTCCGTCCTATGAGGACATTTTCAAACCAATACAATAAGTATCACTGATACAATGAGTATATAAGTTTATTGTATTAGTTTGAAAATGTCGTTATAGGACGAAACGTTGCTCGCAAATAAAAGTGGTAAAAAACATAGAAAGTTTTATTTCTCATTGTTAAGATCATATCGTTGGGGTGTAGTTCATGAAATTGCTATGGAGCATGGATCTTCATCAAGTAACGGCCAAATCAATAAAAAAACGATACGATAGTTGTATTCATACCAATTGTGATGAATGCATTTTTATATTTACCAAAATGGTTTGATTTATTGACAATATTTCGTTGTGGAATGGAATTCAGCAGTATATCAAATTAGTAGAATATGTGATTTAATTTCTGGAAACAGTTCGGAATTGAACTGCTCCCAATAAATTTCTATATGAATAACGTCAACTAACATATTTCCATGATAAATGCCAATGTTTAAAATCGAAAATGATTTTGAAAAAGTTTCCACACAGCGATATAATAATAATGATAATAATAAATTTTCTTCATCCTTTAAGATCATACACATGATATAGGACTAGTCATAAAATGTATATACACAGACATATATTGGTACATATATATGTATATATACATACGATAAAAAAATAACTTTATTACTTTAAACATATTGTCCATACGAACAAGCAATCAACAAATTAAAAGGTTATGAATCAGCAAAATAGTCACTTATGTCATAAAAGCAGGATTCCACGAAATATTTTTTCAATCTTGTTTTGATTTTATTAATATTTTTTTCGTTTTTGATACCACTGGGGAGATGATTTAAAAGTTGCATTCCATTATTCTTAGAACCGCTTTCGTAAAATGAAGTACGGAGCTTTATACTTCTAAATAAGTCACCATGTTTCGAAGCATACTAATGAGAGTCAGAATTTTTTTAGAAGCTCTTGATGTTGAGTTTTAGATATGTTACAGTTTTATAAATCTGAATCGATGGTACCGTCATTTTTTAAATTTTCCTACACGTAATTCAGTAGTCTAAGCCAGAAATTAGACGAATTAGTCTTTTTTGATTGATGAAAGCTCTGCGAGCATTGGCGTACTTCCGCAAAGGACAATATCATAAGTAATATGTGAATATGAGAGAGCATAGTACACATTTATTATTTGCTGTAGTGTAAATATATTTTCAGCTGCAAAATTGCATAATTACTATTATTGAGTATCTTACATACCTCATCAACATGAGGTATGTAGGAAACTCAATAATTCTGACGTAAACATCATAAACTTTCTCATACCAACGTGCGGACGGGAATTGTCATGAAGCAGGTTCAGACCTCTTCTGCTGACCAGTAGCGGTTGCTGTCCATCGATTTCCTCACAAAAGGACTCTGCTGTGATGGTTTGGCCCGGTTGCAGAAAATTATAGTGAATCACACCAACCGTAGACCATCATACAGTAACCATGGTCCTTTTTTTTGGTAGGTTTTCGCCTTTGAGACGTGCCTAGGTAGCTCATCGGAGTCCAACCACTGTCCTGAATATCTCGTGTTGTCGTAGAGGATCCACTTTTCATCATTTGTGACGATTTGATCCAAAAAGGATCGTTCTGGTTGCGCAATAGCATAGAAAAGATCTGTCCAACGTTTAAAACTTGGGGTACCCACTTTTCGAGCATTTTGATTTTCCCAATACGTGTTAAGCTATCAATAAC